CTGCCATATGGGTGCTGGGATTCGAACCTGGGTCTTCTGCAAGAACAACCAGTGTTCCTAACCACTGAGGCATCTTTCCAGCCCCATAAAAAAGTTTTTAACTTAACAAAAAAGAAGGCTGAGAGCTGGGCCTGGTACACATACCTATAACCCTAGCACTTGGGAGGTAGAGGCAGAAGTTCTAGGTCAAGAATTATCCTCCACTACATAGTGAGTTTGAGGCCACTGCCTCCAAAAACTGAGTTGGGGGACCAGGGATAGCACAGTGGTAGAGTGCTTACCTAGCATGTATACGGCCCCAGTACCATTTAAAAAGAAACATCTGGGGCTGGAGAGATGGCTCAGTGGTTAAGAGCACTGACTGCTCTTGCAGAGGACCCAGGGTCAATTCCCAGCACCCACATGACGGCTAACTCCAATTCCAGGGGAATCTTATGCCCTCTTCTGACCTCCGCAGGCATTGCACAACACAGGTGAACTTACATACATGCAGGCAATACACTCACACACTAAAAATATTTTTTAAAAAATAAAAAATTTTTAAACACAGTATAGAGTGACCAAGATGGCTTTAACAGGTAACAGCACTTGCCACCAAGTCTAATGACCCAAGTTCAATCCCAGGATGACCTATATGATAGAAAAAGAACTGATTCTCACAGCTGTCTTTTGAGCCCCACACAGAATTTTTTTTTTAATGTAAAAACATACATGTTTTGTTTTTTGTCTTTTGTAGCCCCACCTGGCCTAGAACTCACTATGTAGACCAGGCTGGCCCTGAACTCAGAGATTCACCTACCTCTGCCTCCCAAGTATTGGGACTAAAGGCGTGCGTCACCACGCCCAGCTTTTTGTTTTTGGAAGTGTAGACTTTTAAACAGAAGGCAGCAGGGAGAGCACTGAAGGAATTCTAAAAGGGAAGGAAGGACATGATAAGATTTGTGTGGAAGAAAGATCATGTTGCCTACCCGAGGATGGATTAGAGGAACAGGACAGACTCATAATCTAAGCAAAATTACAGGGCGTGGACTCACGAGTGGCTGGCTGTTGGAGAAAGGAAGCATTTGATTACAGTGTAGAGACCAAATCTGTAGAGGTTCACACCTGATTAGATTTGGGGATCGAGAGTACAGTGTTGAGCCCCACAGGCTCTGGGTGGTTTGAGTGGATTATGGTTCCATTCACTGTTGTACAGAATGGAGGAGGAAGATGAAGCTTGGGAAGAAAACGTGTTCATTATCAGGGGTGTTTTGAGCCTGTTTCTCTGGAGAGAGATGTCTGAGAGGCACTGAGTTTGTGATTTGGAGCTTGAGGAAAGAGGTCCTGGTTGGGGAGGGTGGCCCTTCAAGAACAGCCAGAGGTATGTGAGTGCCTTCCAGAAGCACAGGTAGGTCAGTGCCTGCTTACTGATAGCTGGTGGCCTGGGGGTCTAAGCTGGGACATTCACTTGGGTCAGGGGAGGCAGATTGAGCGATTTGTCCGGCAATGAGGGAGGAGCCAGATGAAGTCAATAGAAAACTAATTTTCTTTCCTGCTGGAAGAAATGAGGTGTGTGGCCGCTGGGTAATTGCAGATAACGAGGGGACTTATTCTTAATATGCACAGCAGCCAGGGTCCCCAGAGTACAGGAGACAGGAAGGATTTAAGGTGCCCTGACAGGGCCAGGCTTATTTGGGAAATGTCCCCCTATTCCAGCCCTCACAACAATGCCACCATAGCCCGTGGTTCCATAAACCCCCCCACCCTCAGGCTTTCTCATGTCCTATACCCTTGTCAACTGTCTAGCTCCTCCTGTCACATTCCTACCCCCACAGAATAGGCATACTTGCTAAGGGAGACAAATGACAGGGCCTCAGATGAACAGGGCGCATGTTCAGCCCATAAACCTTGGGGATGGGTCACGTCTGGAGTTGTCATGGCCATCACTACCCACCCATCTGTCTTCCCACCATTCTGCCTCAGAGTGGACCAGCCCTTATGGCTTCCTGAGTCCCTAAGGGAACACAGTGTCACCTCTCCACACCCGTGTCCACCACAGGTACATGTACATTAAACTCTATAAGGCAGAACCCCATCTAATTTGTCTTCATAAACCTTTGGCTAACCAGACTACTCCCCTAGCCCTTTCCTGGCTCTTGGGGGTGGAGGTTGCTAGGTCACGATCCTGGCAAGGGCAGTCGTAGGGGCTCAATGGAAGGGAACATATTCAGAAGCTTCCTGACCCTGCCGTGACCTCACCCCACCCCTCACTTGATTATGACATTAGTGAACAATACTTCTGCAATCACAGCATCGATCCCATGAGGACAGGTACAGCTGACGCCCTGCTCATGGCCCAGGAGCATGGAAGGGAGGTGGGAAAGGGATGGAAAGAGGCAGTTAAGGAGACAGGGAGTTGGTGACTGCTCTGGGCAGCTGAGCAAAAACCCAGGTAGATGGACAGTTTCTGTGCTAGGCTTACTCCAGTGGGACAAACTCTGGGTAGCTGCGCCCTTGCTGCTGGCAGTGGTAGAGTAAGTCCCAGGCTACCAAGATAGTTTTTCAGAGACCACTATCAGAGAAACTAATAGGTTCTGACATACTTAGGTATATTTAACCTGCTATTTGAGCAGAGACAAGGTCCCAAAGGTGGCCAGCACTCAGCTTTGAGCCTACTGGGACAGAGGCAGTGGGCTAACTAGTAGAAATGTCTGGAAGGGCTGGGAGCATACAGTCCTGGGCCTTCTCCACTCTGTCTGGAGCTACACAGGAATAGGTTCCCAGGGTTCTGGCACAGCAGTGTCAAGTCTTGTGCCTTGTCACCAGTTGATTATGGCCTGGGCCACAGTTCTCCACACATGCAAGTACCGACAAAGTCACCCTGGCCATAGGCGTGATGAATGGCCACACAGTAATGAAATGGAGACATCAAGGCGGGTGGCGGGAAGACAGAGTGTGGCGGACAGGCCGTCCCCATGCGGCAGCAACAAGAAGGATCGCCCAGCAACCGGGGGCCGTCAAGGGAGAAATTACACATTTACTCTGCCTTTTTCTTACTCCGACGGCGCCCATACATCACCGCTGGGGCTGGGACGGGACACGCAGGCCAATTTCCAGCATGAATTATGGCACTGAGAAGCATCAAAACCAGGTTTCCTGCTGGCCCAGTATCATCCAGCCCAACTCAAAGCTGGAGATGCTGCCAACGGGGACTGCTCCTCAGGCTTATGGCCACTGCATCTGACCCTGCTTCCCGCCCCCACCTGTGGGTATGGAGGTGAGGACCTGGCACCCATCTAAATGTCTTCTCCTCTCTCCAGATGACTGCAAGAACATTGCCAACATCATGAAGACACTGGCATACCGAGGCTTCATCTTCAAGCAAACATCAAAGCCATTCTGATTGGTTGAGGACGGGATGGGGCAGGACAGGGTAGCTGCTTGGCCCAGCCCAGAATCACCCTCTCCCTCACCAGAGGGGAAAATGGAGAGTGGCACAGCCCTGAGCCCAGAGTGTCCCCCAGCTGCCCTGTGGGCTTGTACCCTGGGCTGAGGGCTTGGCCACTTGGTCCCTCTGGAGCAGACACTTTGTACCCCGCCCCCACCCCTCAGTCTCAGCCCTCTATTAACCCCTGCTGTTGTGAGCCTGGGCTAGGGGATCCCAGGTACTCACTGCCTTCTCCCTGGTACACAGGCTTACTGGGGCAACTAAGCCCCCCCTGTGCCCCCTCCCATCCATAGTGCATGGTGTGTGGTGCCCCCAGGGCTCCAAGACAGATCAGGCCCCACCTTGTGTCTACCCCAATCCCCGCTGTGAACGTGCCACTGAATAAAATTGGGGATATAAGGCCCCAGTGTGTGCAGAGCCATCTTTGTGTGTAAGGCTGTTGCTGTGCTAATGCTGTCAGAATGTGAAACATCTCCATATAAGACTGCATGTGGCTAGCAATCCTGCGAAACCCTCATTTGAAGATGCAATGGACTGGGGTGTGAGGACTATCTGAGCACAAGACTCTGCTAAAGCTACTGGTATTTGAGGCCACTGCTGTGTGCAAAACCATCTTAAGTATAAAACCAAGGGTGTTCAGGGTGAGAGGTCTTGGCAACAGAAAGGCTGCTAAGGACCTGAGTGTAAGTGTGGTGGGCAAGCCACTGGGGACTGGATGTAGTGATGTATCAACCCACCCTCCCAGCCAGGGATACGAGAAGCAAGGAAATGAAGTAGAAGTAGCCCAGTCCAACTTAACATCTCTATTTACACCACACCACCACCACACCCTGGTGGCCCCTCACGGTTTCTTGGCTTTCTTCACAGAAGATGAGCTGGAGGCTGATTCCCGTCGCTTCCGCTGAAGAGACACAGAAGGTGTTGAGGTCAGTGGCCCCTGAAACCCCACTCAGGCACAGAACATCATAGTGGTAACTATTCCCTTGCAGGCTCTGGAAGGAGTAGAGCCTATACACACACATGCTCCCCTAGCTTGTCCAGGCTCTTACCGAATTGGGGGTGAGGGGTGCTCCCACTACATCGATGAAGGTGTCCTTGGTAGGGTCAGGGCCAAGTCCAGACTCAGATACTGCTGACTCAGCAGAGGCTGGGGCTGGTCCTGCTGCCGGTGTGGCAGGGCCCCCCAGCACGCCTGCCCGGGCGAGGGCTTCGTGCCGGTGCCGCAGCATCTGTAGCTCATATTCACAGTTGGCACAGGCCTGCTTGAGCTCATACAGCAACACTAGGTCACTCCTTAGCTCATTGAACATGTGCACCAGCTCTTCTGTGGGGGTGGGGCTCAGCTCTGCAGGCAGGACAGAGCCAGGCTGTGATTGGAGGCCTGAAACATGAACTACCCTCCCTTTGTGCAGCCTTTATCCACAGCCCCTGGGGGAGAGGGATATCTTGGGGGCACTCAGAGCGACTCACCCACACCAAGCTCCAGCAGCATCTGCTCCAGCGCCTTGATCTTCTTCTGACCCACAGAGCTTGGCAGCTTCATCTGCAATGGCCCAGGCAGTTAAGTCCTCTCCCCCTTAGGACGAGGCTTAGGATGAAAGGAGTTTAAAGGCAGTGGGGTGGGGTACATGGATAACACTTGACGATGGCAAGAAGAGGATCTGACTGGCAAATGGAGTATAGTGAAGGCAATGGCCTCAGCCTGGCTGTCATGGAGATTCTGGCAAGGCCACCTCTCCACAGCCACTCCAACTGCTCTAGCCTCACCTGCTTCAGCACTTGAGCCATCTGGAGCCCAGGGCCCAAATACAGTAAGATAGTTCACAATGAGGTAACTTACCCGTTGGCTCCGCAGCGTGACACCTGCTGACTTAAAGTCTGGAAACTTGATGCCTGCAGTCTCAGGAACAGCCTGTGGAAGAAGGATTTATAGGGTCTGAGGTGTCACAGGGAGTGGCCCAGGGACCCACCAGCTCAGGGCCGTGTACCAGGTGCCCCTTCAACCCTGAGCTTGTTGGGGTAGTTTCCACACCGGCTTCTCAGCTTCCTTCTTCTGGGGTAGCTTCTTCTTGGGGGCCTTGCGTTCTGTGCGTCTCTGCTCAGCAGTGGTGTCTGCGGCTGTAATCAGCTTTTGCAAGTCTTGGCTGCGTTTCTCCCGCTCCTTTTTCCGGGCCTCGATCTTGCGCAGCTCCTGTAACAGGTACTCCTCCTCTGCCACCTGAAAGCAAGAAATGCTGAGACGATGAGGGCAGCATGGAGGGAAGGCATCCTCGGAGGCGGAGGTATGGGACTGTCTATGAGGAAACCAGAGGTAAAGAGACCAGGAGGAAGGGAAAGAGGGCTGAGGAGACATGGGAACAAGCTGGAAATGGGAGGGCCTGGGGAGGCCATGGAGGTAGGGAGGCAAAGGTGCTGGGCGTGGTGAAGGGTTATGACCTGCTCTGGGGTCCGATTGTAGAGCCGCTCCAGCTGTTCCTTCCGCCGTCGCTCATGTCCAGCATCAAATACTGGTATTTTGAGGTCTGTGCCTGGCACAGCCCGCACGTTGGCAAGCTTGGCACAGATGTGGTAGTACCGCTCCTTCAGGTCCTCCACAGAACGCTTCTGAGGATCAAGACAGGTGGGGATGAACACTCAGGAGCACGAGGAAGAGATGGCATGGAAATAGTGTCTACGAGATGCAGGGGTCAAGCACTCATGCATATGCCAGCTCACCTTGAACTGCTGGTGGTCATATCGGTCATGTATAACTACAAAGCGCAGGTCAAATCGGCGGCTGAGGTCAAAGAGGTGGTCAGTTTCTGCCTTAGTCCAAGCATCGTCATGAAGATAGAGCTGGTACTCCTGCTCTGAATACACAGGCACCTGCACCGTCTACTGAACAGAAAGATCAGTGGTGGCATTCCCATGTCCCATGTCCAAACAAACTCTGGCCCCGTGACCCCAGCCTTTCTGTTTATTACCAACCCCTGGATTGGACAAACACGAACCTCTGTCCGTACCCCTACAGAAGGAAGGGAGGGAAGACCCAATATGCTTGAAGAGAAGCCCTAGCAGGCTCGGGGACAGTGACCTGCCCAATTCACTTCAGCAGCAACTTCCCACCTTCAGAAATATACCACATGCCGCTACTCCACTTGTAAGCACTTCTGTGGAATCCAAGGTCAATTCTGGAGCCAGACAGATGGCTACAAACCCATCAGACAGAGAAAGGTCCAGAGTCTCTAGTTCAAGCAACTCTTGTCTGAAGCACTGCTGCCACCCAGTGGTGACCGTGGGGCTTGCTGACTCCCCAGAGCCTCCAAGGTTGTGGTCTCCAGGTAATTCTATTGCCAATAGCCTCTTCTCCTCTTCTAGCCTACATTCCACTACCCACCCCACCCCAGGTCTCCCCCAGAGACAAACAGCACCATTGCTAGCTGGGTCTGTAGATCAGAGATAAAAGGAGTCAATGCTGGACTAGAACCTTGTGAATTCACAAGTTCAAAATCACAGTAGGCTCTCTTTCCAACTGCCTCTTGGACATGTCCTACTGGAAGTCTCACACGCCTCTAACTATAATATGCTCAATTCTGAATTCATTCCTCTTTCCCAAACATCTTCAGGCCAGATATCAGTCAATGTCACCAAGAGCTAATACAGAAACCTGGGAGGCATTACTTGTTGGTTTGGTTTTGTGTATATGTGTATATTGGTCTGGGTTTGTTTGGTTTGATTTGGATTGTTGTTTTTGGCACAGGGTCTTGCTACTTGCTGTGGGAGCCAGACTGGTCTCAAACTCATAGGAATCCTCCTGCCTCATCCTCCCAAGTGCTGAGATTATAGGCATGTGTCACCAAGCTTGGCTTTGGGAAGTATCTTAATTTCTACTTTTCACTAAATCTATGGTTTTACCTCTAGAATCCCTATCTCCATAGCCACAACTCAGGTCTGAGCAGCACAGCAGCATCACTGGCATAGATTAGAGAAACAAATCCACTCAGGCTTCCATTTAAACCTTCTCCAATCCATTCTCCATCAGCAACCAAGATGTGACCTCTCTGCCTCCTGCTATTTAAAGGGCAGCGTGGAGACTGGTGCTGATTACCGACTGTCAGCACTGGCCTGTGACTAGAATTGAAATTGAAGAGCTGGAGAGATGCCTCAGTGGTTAAGAGCACCATCTGTGTTCAGTTCCCAGCACCCACATGGCAGTTAAAAACCACCTGTAATTCCCAACTCCAGGGGATGAAATGCCCTCTTCTGGCCTCCAAGGGCATGGTACACACATGCACTTACATACATGTAGGCAAAACACTCATACACAAAATATAAATTTTTTAAAAAAATTTTTTAAAGAATAGAAATTGAGAGGAGGCACTGAAAACTTACATGGCAACCATGTGCCAGGGAACAGTATGAATGTGGATTTGTGTTGTCTTTTCTTATAATTGTAGTATCTTTACCAGTCTCTGCTAGGCTGCAATTAGAAAAATATCTTTCACCAGTTTATATGAGACTGAGATGCACTATTCCAGATGACATGTCCTATGTCTCCACTGACCACCTCAGAACCTCCCACCTCCAAGATGAACTGCCTTTTAGATAATTCACAAACTCAAGAGCAAGGGTTGTCCAGTTCATTTCCTGTTAGGGCTTCAGCACACCACAGGTATCAATGAATAGCCACTGTGCATTAGCAAACATGCAGCCTGGCCTCCTGTAGCAGCAGTGAGCCCTCTTGGACCCTAAGCTCCAGCATAAATGACTAGCAGTTCTGGAACACACCAGGATCCTCCCCAAGCCTTTATTCTCACTTCTATATTCCTTCTATTAACATAACATTCTCATCCTTTTGACCTCTCAGGCTTCATCACCTTGGGACATTTCTCTGGTTTCCCAGGCTTGGATGCATATCCCTTCTAGTCAGTTAATTAAAAAATGCTCCAAACCTTGGGCCAATCTTGCTCTCGAGTCAACTCAAGAAGACAATCCATCCATCCATTCATTCATTCAACAAATACTTATCATTTCTGTTGTCTTTTTTTATAATTGTAGTATCTTTACCAGTCTCTGCTAGGCTGAAATTATAAAAGTATCTTCCACCAGTTTATATGAGATTGCTACACTTAAGTTGCAGATACAGCGACAACTCGGAGCTGACAGTTCAACTGAAGAAAAGAACCATTTTAGTTCTATGTGGTAAGTTTGATGATAAAAATGTACATAGGGTGTAACAAGTAACCAGACACAGACTGGAGACAAGAGTTGATCAGAACAATTCTAAATTTGGTAAATTACGTCTAGTTTTTTGTTTTGCTGCTGTTGTTTTTAAGATTTATAGGTGTATGTGTGTGACTGTGTGTAGAGGTGATATGTGTGCAAGTAAGTGCCTGAGAAGACCAGAAGAGGGCAGTTATAAGCCACTGAAATGGATGCTGGGAACCACTAAATTTAGGTCCTCTGGAAGAGCAGCAGGCACTCTTAACCACTGAGCCATCTCTCCAACCCTGTTTTTATTATAGGGTCTTATGTATCCCAGGCTGGCCCCAAACTCAGTATGCAGCTGAGGATGACCTTAAACTCCCTGATCTTCCTGCCTCCAACTCCCCAAGTACTGGGATTACAAATGTGCACACCACACCAGGTTGTCTTATGGTTAAGTAGTGAACTAGTAAGGGAGAGCAGAGGGGACAGGATGAGCACAACATGTCAAAACAACAACAACAAAAAAAAAACAGAAGCAGCCTAACGTGTGGGCCTGGCAGCCAGAAAGACTGAGGCAAGGAGAGCCTGATGAGTCTGACGAGGCAGCAGAACTAGCTGCTGCAGGCCTGTGCACCTGTCTGGAATTCATGCTGAGGGTGTGAAACAAGCCAATAAGGCTGATTTTAAAGATATTAAGAGGTTACAGGTGTGATGGTGGCTGCCGTTAATCTCAACACTTGGGTGTCAGAGGCAGGTGGATCAGAGAGTTCAAGGCTAGCCTGGTCTACATAGCAGAGTTCTAGGCAAGCTGGAGCTACAGGGAGACCCTGTCTCAAAAAGACCAAAAAAAAAAAAAAAAAAAAAAAAAAAAAAGAAAGAAAAGAGATTAAGAGGTCATATTTCTTCTAAGACCATCCTAGTAACAGAGAAGATACAGGGGTGAAACAAAGTTGGTCCAAGAGACCAACTAACCAACTTTACCAGGGATGCAGGCAAGACGCCCTAAGGCCCACACAAAAGCAGCACTAGTGGAAGGCAGCAGAGAGCACAGACAGGCTGAATGGGGCTCAGCCAAAGAGGAGGCCACCATGACTGATTCCTTATGGACCTGAGCAAGAATGGAAGGGGTCAGCCCCCAGGAGGCAGAGGCAGGTGGATCTCTGTAGGATTGAGGCCAGCCTAGTCTACAAAGTGAGTTCCAGGCTGGCTGAGACTAGGGAGACCCTGTAAAAAAAAAAAAGCCCCTGTAAAAAAAAAAAAAAAAAAAAAAAAAAAATTACCACCAACAAAAAAGAATGGAAGACACCAGAGCAAAGCCCAAATTCTTGAGCCTAGTTACCAAGGTTCTACCTGGCCTGGCCCCTGCTGGCCTCTCAAGCCACAGCTCCCACTTCATCCTCCACAGAGCTTTAGGCATTATTAGCATGGAAATGATCAGAACATCCAATTAACATGACCCTTTAAAATTCTTCTTAATTTTTTCAAGGGCTGGAGACATGACTCAGGGGTTAAGAACATGGGCTGTTCTTGCAGAGGTTCAATTCCCAGCACCCACACAGTGGCTAATAACTGTTCATAACTCCAGTGCCAGGGGAATCCAACACCCTCCTCTGACTTCTGAGGGCACTGCACAACATGGTATGCTTACACACATTCAAGCAATATACTCATACGCATAAAATAAAAAAAATTTTAAATTCTTTTTAATTTCTTGTGGAAGGGAAGTTGCATGTGAATGTTGGAGGACAATTTTTGGGAGTCTGTTCTCTCTTTTCACCATGTGGGTCCCAGGGATGGCACTCAGGCCATTAGGCCCAACAGAAAAACCTGAACCATATTTTCTTATCCCCCCCCCCATCTCTGTTCTATGTGCATGAAAAAAAATCACTGCAGCAACTTTAATATTTAATATAGCTGGTAACATCATGAAAACTGCCCTAACCTTCAGGCCCCTCCAACATAGCACATACCCCACAGACTATAACTGTCTCCATCTTCTTCCACCCCTCAACAGCATGGAGCTTTTTAAAGACAGACATTGTGTCGGATTTATTTTTTGTTCTCAATGCCTAGCCTCAACCTGCAGAGGCAACAAGAACTAAACACAGAGTATTCTTTTTCTTCACATCATTTTGTCTCACCCAGCCTCCTTCCTGCTTCCACAGACACCTCACCTCTTCCCTGAGCCTTATCAATCTTGTATCTCCAGCCTCTCCCTCCACTGAGCCTGAGAGGCCTATGGATGATGGTGGGGGGTGGAGGAAACCATGTACTGGGGGTGGGGATGATGGAGTCACACTTGGCTGTGGTCATCTGAGCAGCTCAGTCTGATGGGAAGATGTCCAGGTACAGCTAGATATTCTAGGCTGAGAATAGATTGGGTTTGAGCTCCTGGCTGTTTTAGGCTCTATGTTTATACTGTCGATATAAGCCACATCAACAGTGCCTTAATCATGGGCTAGGAAATTCTAGCCCAGTCTAGCTCTGCCTCTGGCTGGCTAGGTGAAACTGGAAAAGGTCCTGCTTTAGATGAGGCTCAATAATCTAGATAAAAAAAATAACTCAACTTGGTTTAGGGTGCTGACATCGAAGATGAAGAATACAGGCAGGATGTGATTTATAATAGACCCAGAATCAGCAGGACTTAATGATTAGACATATCATATGGTCTAGTTCAAATGCCACCTTCTCAAAGAGAAGACCAACCTCAATTTAGGTTTTAGGGCTGGTGAAATGGCTCAGCAGGTAAAGACACCTGACAGCAAGTCAGACAACCTGAGTTTGATTCCTGGGACACAAACGGTTGAAGAAAAGAACAAATTCCTAGAGGCTGTCCTCTGACCTCCACAAGTGCACTGTAGCATGCATGCACACACTTACACAGGTCTCACATGGACAGACATACACAATAAATAATAAATAAATAGATAAACAAAATAAATAGATGCCATAGGTCTCTCCTACACCTACACAAATTCACTCCTTATCTTGTTTTTTTTTTGTTTTGTTTTGTTTTTTGTCTTTTTGAGACAGGGTCTCCCTGTAGCCCCAGCTGTCTTGGAACTCACTGTGTAGACCAGGCTGGCCTTTAACTCACAGAGATCCACCTACCTCTGCCTCCCAAGTGCTGGGACTATAGGTGTGCGCCACCACGCCCGGCTTATTTTGTTTTATATCCATTCAAATACTAGTTACATTTTATTGAAGGCACTTATCTGAAAGAATACAATATTTTATCTCCTTACACATTTGCCATCTGTCTTCCCCTGTCTTCTGTTGTTGACAACTAAGGGAGAAAGCTAAGTCAGAGATGAGGTCCAAGTTTGTAAGATCGGCAATTGGGTCCATAATGGTGCCATTCACTGAGAAAGGGAACAAATTTAGGGGTAGGAATAGAGAGAAGATTATGAGTTCTGTTCCAGGGTACCACTAATGTGAGACACCTGTGGAACAGTCAGAAGGTGATGTTAGTAAATTAGAGCTACTAGGATGGGGGCCACTAGCTTATAGAAAGTAAATGAACCACAGGGTAAATGAGAAAACTAAAATGAAAATAAACAGAAGAGAAAAGCACCTAAGATACAGCTCTGAGGAACAGCAATATTTGAAAGGCCAATAGCAGCCACTAAAACCCAAAGTATGTTCAGGATAGGACAGAAGCCCATGGACAGAAAAGACCCACAGAGTCTCACATCTCCTCCACTTGATACACAACAGTGGGTAGCCATGGTTGGGCTTGAGCATGCTCTGGAGTCAACCCTAAAAGAGTTAAAAATTCATGCAAGTGGCTTAGATGGGTGGGCAACACTGGCTTGTGTCTAGATGCTGGTAGCTCACCTTATTGAACCTGGCAAAAGGGTAGTCCTTGCCTTCCTCCGCTGCCCGTCGCCAGTGGAAAAACATAGCTCCATCCTTGCGGGCTGGGTTGGTGAAAGGCATCCACTTCCAAGGACGAACCTTCTTGGACCCCAATTTAGCTTTCACTGTGCGGTAGCCCTGACCAGTGTCACTGGGTAGCAATGGGGGTGCATCCCTGGCAGTGGAGTTTAGGGAGGTGGAAAGTTAGAATCGGGTGTGTGGAGAGCCCTTGCACCCAAGAAGCTTGATGTATGCTTGAGCAAGGAAGTCATGTCCTGGGGCAAGACACTGAGATCCTCCTACATCCTGCTAAGCAAGCAGGAGCCGTAGCTGGGGATGAGGGGTAGGAAAAGAACTGCAAGAACAACTGGGAAGTGGGGACATGCAGGGTGTCCCAGGGGCCACTGCACATGGGGATCTGGGATTTCAATACTTGCTTCTTGTCAGAGTAAAGCAAGGCATAGACCTCCCGATGCATGCCCTCAGGCCTCTTGAAGGTCAATGTCTCAGAAGACTTCTTGGACTTTTTCTGGGAAGAAAACCAGAGGGATGAACCACCGCCTTAGACTACCCTTACCTGAAAATGATTTACCCAATCCCTGAACAAATCATCACCGGTAAACGACATACTAAAGGCACAGAAACCCTCTCACAGAAGTATCCCTACTTTCACCTCATCTGGGTGGTGCCCTGAGCTGTCAATGTAGAAAATCCTTCCCTCACCTCCCTGTCACAATGTCTTGATTTCTCTTCCCAATAACTTACATATGTCACTCTCTCTTGGTCCCAACCACCTCCCAGTGTCCCACCTCCATCATCTCATTAAGAAGAGCATACTCTTTCTCCCAGTATATCATTTTCTTGATGCATTTCACGAAGTAACGAAGTACAGCACCCCAGCACTTCCTCCAAATCTTTTCCGTTGTCACCCCTGCCCATTTCTTCAACACCATCCCACCCAAAACCCTCAGGTGTCCCTGCTACCTTGTCGGGGTTGATAATATCTTTCTTGCTGATGGTCCCGGAGGCTGCATCCCCTTCTGGACCCCCAAGTTCTAGAATGTCGCGAACATCCGCGCCCGTAGCCATAACGCCTGAGGGATGAGAGGAGTACCAGAGGTCAAGGGTCAGTGCCTGCGGAGACGCTGCGCTCCGGTCAAGGGGGCGGGGCCCCTGTTACTCCCGCTCCAAGTTGGGGCGGGGTGACCCTCGCAAGCAGCGAGGTCCAGGGCAGGTCTGGACTCTCCGCCTGTGTCCCTCCCATGCAGGTGTCCCTTTCGGTCGCATTGTCCTCCCTGCCTCACCATTCCCCGGCATCCGCACCTGGGTACCCCAGCAGCAACCCACCGCAAGGTTTTCTTATCCCTGCAAAGCCACGGACAGAAACTTCCGGCTGTGCGTTTTAAAAACGCGACCGACAGAAACACTTCCGGTAGATGTTTGGACGAAAAGGAGCCGGTTGGCAACCCAGTGCGAAAGAAAGCTCCTGGCTGCGCTGAGCCTGTCACAATTCTGCTCTAGCCCGTTCCTGGTTGTGCGGCGTTTCTGGCGTTTACCTTCTTTCTTGCTCGCTCGGTACATCTCGGAAAAATGAAAAGAAAGCTCAGACAGACTTATTTTCTTAAAACTTAGTTACCAATTGAACATTGTAGTACCTGCTTAAATAAAATATCGGTAATCCATGTAAAATATGTGCCTGGGACATTAATTTTTTTTAATTAACTAGGTTAATGATAGTAATTATTCCTGATTATTACGTGCTACTATGTACCAGGCGTCGTGCTAAGCTTTCAAGGAAGAGCTTCTGGGGTAGCTGCCAAGATAGCATCCTCCTCCTTCCCCTCCTCCTAGTTCTCTCCAGTCTTTCACTTGTATGTAACCCAGTCTGGCTTCATGCTCGCAGCAATCCTGCCTCGACCTCCCAAGTGCAGAGATTACAGGCATGTGCCAACACACCAGGCTTTTAGCTTCTTTATCTAATTTGGGACCAAAATTGTACCACTCTCTTAAGAATTGTGAATCTTTACTCTTTTTCGAGCCATTAATGCACACACTCACACCCCCTCACACATATGAATTTAGTTTGTGAATACCTAGTTTGCTAATACTAAGAAATGACGTCAGGCCCTGACTTTGGTCTAAGTATCACTTCAATTTCCTTAACACATTAGTTTATTTGCTTGGATTTCCATAGATGTAGTTGATATTTCCTGCCCCTGCCAAGTATACAGACAATACTAAATGTTGGTAAGGATATGGAACAACAGAAATCTAGTTCTCCGAATTTAACTTGGGAAAGTAGCACAATATCAATATGAGAGATTTAAAAAGAGAAGAAAGGTTCTGAAGAATATAGGATTCTCATCTGCATTAACTGTTTAAGAAACTGAGGCACCATAGAAAGCCATACAACGCATTCTCACTAGTATATCTTGAAACCAAACCAAATAATAATAGTAAGAGGGAAAAGATATGAGACTCAATTATGAACCATGGAGCAAAAAGCCTAAATGAAATGTGAATGAGGGGCTGGAGAGATGGTTCAGCAGTTAAGAGAACTGGCTGCTCTTGCAGAAGACCTGGGTTTAGTTCCCAGCCCCCGCATATTGACTAACAACTGTCAGTAACTTCAGTTCCAGGGGATCTTCTACCCTCTTCTGGCTTCAGTAGGCATTGCATGCACATGGTACACATACTGCAAGCAGAACACTCATACACAGAAACAAAAAAAAATTAAAAATAAATTTTAAAAATAAAATATGAACAAATTAAATCCAGCCATGTAATAAAAGAATCCATCAAATCTAAAGAGGATTTAACCCAATACTGGTAGGATGGTTCAGCAGTGAGACATATATCTGATGTAGTGGCTCACACCTGTAATCTTAGCATTCAGGAGGCTGAGGCAGAAGGATTACCACAAGTTCCAGGCCAGCTTGGGTTACAAAGAGACCTTGTCTCAAAAAAACCAAAACCAAAAACAAACAAACAAAACCCCTCACATGTTAGGTAAATGTCTACCACCAACTTATATACACAGGGATGATACACATCTTTTGAATTTTTTAAAAGATGTTTTAAATTTGGGGCTGGAGAGATGGCTCAGCAGTTAAGAGCACTGACTGCTCTTGCAGAGGACCCAGGCTCGATTCCCAGCACCCACATGGCAGCTATGAACCATCCTTAACTGCAGTCCCAGGGGAATCTGAAACCCTCTTCTGATTCCTCAGCATTGCAGGACACGGGTACACTCATACATGCAGGCAATACACTCATACACATAAAATAAAAATAATAAATAAAATATATATTTTTAAAAAAGCAGATTGAGCACAGGCCACAGAGATCAGAAGAGGCTGTCGGATCCCCTGGGACTGGAGTTATAGACAGTTGTTAGCTGCCATGTGGGTGCTGGGATTCAAACCCGGATCTTCTGCAAGAACAACCAGTGTTCTTAACCACTGAGCCATCTCTCCAGCCCTAAACAAAATATTTTTTAATATTTTTAATTTATGTGTATGTGACCCAGGTCTGTAATCCCAGCCACTTGGGAGGTTGAGGCAAGAGAATAACAAGTTCCAGGCTTGCCTGAGGAGCAGAACAAGTTGAAGACTAGCCTATGCAACTTAGTGAGACCCTGTCTCAAAATTTAGAACAGTAGAAAGAAGGCTAGGGATATAGCTCTGTGACAGTGTGCTGGCCTAATGTTCACTAGGTCCTTGGTTCAATCCTTGGTATGACATAAAATAAATTGAAGGACTTCAAAGATGGCTCAGTGGTTAAGATCACTGGCTGCTCTTGCAGAGGACTGAAGTTCAGTTCCCAGTTCCCACACAGTGGCTCATAACTGTCTGTAACTTCAGTTCCAGGGGATCAATTCCCCTCTTTTGGCCTCTGTGGGCACTGCACACCTGGTGCACTTACATACATGCACACAATATGCTCATACACATAAAATAAAAAATAAAATTTAAGAATCTTAAAACATGGCTGGAAAGATGGCTCAGTGTCTAAGAGTGTTTGCTGCTCTTTCAGAGGACTGACCTGGGTTTGGTTCCCAGCACCCACATGGTGGCTCACAACTGCCTATAACTCCAGTTCCAGGAGATCCAGCTTCCTTTTCTGGCCTCTGTGGGCACCTGCACACACATGGTGCAAATACAGACAAGCAGTACACACACATACACATAAATTTAAAAAAATATATTTTTTTGGTCTTTTTGAGACAGGGTCTCCCTGTAGCCCCAGCTGTCCTGGAACTCACTATGTAGACCAGGCTGGCCTTGAACTCACAGAGATCCGCCTGCCTCGGCCTCCACGCCCTTCAAAAATATTTTTTTTTAAATTTAAAAATTTAAAAGATGGCCTGGAGAGATGGCTCAGCAGTTAAGAACACTGGCTATTCTTGCAGAAGACCCGGGTTCGAATCTCAGCACCCACATGGCAGCTAACAACCGTTTGTAACTCCAGTTCCAGGGGATCTGATGCCCTCTTCTGACCCCCTTGGGCATTGCACAACAGGGGTGCACTTATACACATGCAGGCAGTATGCTCATATACGTAAAATAACAAAAAGAGGCTAGGTGTGCCTTTAATCCCAGTACTGGAGAGACAGAGGCAGGTGGACCTCTAAAATCAAGGCCAGCCTGGTTTCCATAGCGAGTTCCAGGCCAGCTGTGGCTACAGGGAGACCCAGTCTCAAAAAGACCAAAATAAAATAAAATATTTTATTGTATTTTAAATATTTTCTTTATTTTTATTTTTGTGTATGAGTGTAATGCCTGCATGTATGTAAGTGTACCCCTGTTGTGCAATGCCCAAGGGAGTCAGAAGAGGGCATCAGATCCCCTGGAACTGGAGTTATGGACAGTTGTTAGTTGCCATGTGTATGCTGGGAACTGAATTCGGGTCCCCTGCAAGAGTAGCCAGTACTCTTTTTTAAAATATTTTTATTTATTATTTTTATTTTATGTGTATGAGTGTTATGCGTGCATGTAGGTAAGTGCACCCGTGTCGTGCAATGCCCACAGAGGACAGAAGAGGCTGTCGGATCCCCTGGAACTGGAGTTATAGACAATTGTTAGCTGCTATGTGGGTGCTGGTATTTGAACCTAGGTCTTCTGTAAGAATAGTCAATGCTCTTAACCACTGAGCCATCTCTCTAGTCCTAAATAAAATGTTTTTTAAAAAGAAAGAAATATCCCCCAAAACTAGAAAAGGATTTTTTTTTTTTTGGTCCTTTTGAGACAGGGTCTTCCTGTAGCCCCAACTGACCTGGAACTATGTAGACCAGGCTGGCCTTGAACTCATAGAGATACACCTGCCTCTGCCTCCTGAGTGCTGGGATTAAAGGTGTGCACCACCACACCCAGCTTAATACATAGATTTTAGTAAAGCAATGAGAAAAAAACTAGTAAATGATATGCTTAATGTGGAAACAACAGAAGCATTCCAACTGGTGTTAGAGCCCTAGCAAGAAGCACCTTTGTCACCCCTACAGATCAGAATAGTACCAGATGTTCTCCCTAATTCAATCAGAGGAGAGCCATAAGAGGAATAAACATTACATAAGAGGAGGCAAATTGTGCTTATTTTCTGGTGACACATTCACTTGTATAGAAAAACCTAAGAAAATCAATTGACAAACTATTACCACTAATAAGAGAATTCAACAAGGTGACCACATACAAAATCAATGTACAAAAATCAATAGCTTTCCTATACACTAGCAATAGCCAATTAGAAAATGTAATGGGAAATAAGATTCTCTTCACAATAGCAACGAAAACTATTAAGTGCCTAAGAATAAGCCTAGAAAGAGAATTTATGTCAGATCTTTAAGGAGAGTTCAGAATTAGGAAATCCATCAATCTAATCACAGTGAGAAATAAAAGTGAAAGCTACATAATTGTGTTATGTAGCAGCAGAGAAAATACAAGAATCATTTCTGATAGAAACGCTAAATGGATGGGACTGTTTTTCCTTCCGAAACTAAGCATCATATTAAATGCCTAAATATTAAAGTCACTCCCATGAAGTTTTTTTTTCTTTTTTAAAGCAGTGGCTGTTACTACCCTTCAAAACCGCTTAATATAACAATGCAATAGAGGATCTAACAGGGAGAGTACAAACCTCCTATGGCAGGCCCTATTCCAGGGTCTGCTAAAACTAGGATTTCATTTCTGTCACAAACAAGATGGTTCCATTTCATGCCACAAAATAAGACGGAAATTAAAATCTCACCAAAGACAAAGGTGGATTGAAAGGGTCTTTTCTTTCTCCTTTCTTCAATCATGTCCCTTGTAGCTGGCCTCCAACCTGGTGCGTAGTGGAAGATGACTTTGAACTGCTCTTGCCAGCAACTCACACCCGGCATTGCAGGCATGCACCACCATAGCTGGGTTT